GGGGCCCGGGAGAATTGCCAAGCGGGGTTCCCAGCTTCGCGTCTGAGCCTGGAGCTTCGCAGCAAGTGGGGCTCCGACCCGGGTTGCTGCATGAGCTCACCGGGCATGGTTCCCGGCGACGGGGATGCGGGCATGGTGTGCACGCCCCGGCCCCGAATGTGGTTCTCTGAAATACGGGGTCCTGACCCGTGGGCACGGCTCTTGTAGGGCGAATACGGGGTCCTGACCCGTGGGCACGGCTCTTGTAGGGCAGCTGGATGCGACATCGGGGCCGCTGGCCCAGCGGAGGGCGTGTGTGTGTGTGTGTGTGTGTGTGTGTGTCTGTGTGTGTGTGTGTGTGTGTGTGTGTGTGTGTGTGTCTGTGTGTGCGTTCTTAAGCTGGACGGTCTCTAGAAGTTGGTCATCACTGGTGGTTTGGTGGGAAAAAGAGATACATCTTGAGGTTTGCCAGGAACTTTTATTTTGCTTCTGATCAGTACTTAACGTCCAGGGTGGTAATAGGACAGAAAATACATTTCTGAATAGAGAAGGCCGGCTCTCAGTGGTCTCATGCTAAATGGCCCCCAGGGAAGGATTTTACCAAGGTGACTCGAAAATGAAAAGTAAATGAAATTATATGCATTTCCTGGATATTTGAGACGGGACCAGATACAAAGCACATTTTAAATGCCTAGGATTTAAGGACACTTCTTTTTAGAGGAAGGCAGTGAAACTGGTATTGTAGTGTCTTGTTTCTTAGAGACTGCATGATCCACTGGAACTCATTGAAGCAAGCATTTTGCATTCGTCAGCAAGTACTCTGCTTGTGAAATGCAGTATTCCAGGAGGGGACTTCCCAAACATGGCTTCACCTCGCCCCCAGCCAGCGTCCATTTGGAATGAGATCAGCCTACATCTGTGAGAATGTCCAGCATTCAAAGTTTTGGCTGCAGTTCCCAGTGGTGACACTGATTCACAGGGATAAGTGAGCTGCTTAGTTGGCTTGTACCTTAGCTTTCCTGTCTATGAAGTGGGAAGATAGGAAGGCCAGCCCTTCCAAGAGCTGTTAACAATTATTGATTCTAAGTATTGTACAATACTTAGAATCCCGTGAAAAATGTGTTTCCTTTTCAAGAAGCCCCTTTTAATTCAATTAATTTTTCCAGCTTCCGATTCCTCATCTGTAAAACGAAGTCATCATTATGATCTTTGAGATTTCTTCCAGTTTTGCCATCCTAAAGTTGATTGCTAATTTCTTCACTTGTGATATCAATCAGAGATGAACTCTGAGATTATTTCAGGTTCAGAAGAAAAGCATTTACTAATGGCTCTTACTGTCTAAAGTGGATACACTAAAAACCTGTTCTTTATGCCTTAAACTTTTAGCAACTACTGTGAATTGCAACTACAAGAAACATCGGTAGTAACATCTTATTGTGTCTAATTATTTCCTTGAAAGTAGTTTATCAGTTTATTGACAGAAAAAAGTAAAGGATAATTAATTTGTTAGATTTTAAAGACCTTTCTGCTAACTAGATGATTGTTTTTTAATGCCTTTAAGAAGAATGTAAATAGTAATTCATCTATATACATTATTAAAACCAGACAGTAACCCTCCCATAATAATGCAAGGACATTTAGGGAATGTTTACTGACAATGAGTCATACTTTATTTTGTTTGGCTCTTTACCAAAGTTATATTCATAAGTACATACATATTTCAGTAGCTGTCTCCGAATACTGGTGTTTCTCTCATTTACCAGAATGTTTCACCATAAAATTGCATTTAAACAGTTACCATTAGCCATTCTATATCTTTCATCAAGAAAATAGATATTGGCGGGACACAGTGGCTCACACCTGTAATCTCAGCACTTTGGGAGGCAGAGGCAAGAGGATTGCCTGAGCCCACAGGTTCAAGACCGGTCTGGGCAACTTGGTGAGATCTTGTGTCTATAATAAATTTTTTTTAAAAATTAGCTTGGCATGTACCTGTGGTTCCAGCTTCTTGGAAGGCTGAGGTGGAAGGATCGCCTGAGCCCAGCAGTCAAGGCTGCAATACCGTGAGTGTGCCACTGCACTCCAGCCTGGACAACAGAGTGAAACTCCAACTCAGAAAGAAAAAGAAAATACAGATGTTTTGTTTTTTGAGTCGGAATCTCACTCTGTCGCCCAGACTGGAGTGCAGTGGCACGCTCATGACCGCTGCAGCCTCGATGTGCTGGGCTCAGGTGATTCTTCTGCCTCGGCCTTACAAGTAGCTGGAACTACAGGCGTGCATCACCACAACTGGCTAATTTTTTGATTTATTGTAGAGATGAGGTCCTGCCAAGTTGCCCAGACTGGTCTCGAACCAGTAGGCTCAGGCAGTCCTCTCACCTCAGCCTCCGAAAGTACTGGGATTATAGGTGTGAGCCACCGCGCCTGGCTGATACTTATTTTTAATAATAGATATGCTTGCACATTTTATTTCAGAGGAAAGTACTGTAGTTCATGAAGATATAGTCCTGTGGGTAGTCATAATGATACCATGAGGAATTTGTGCAGGATGTCTTATTAGGAGGTTTACAGGTGATTAGACATAAACTAACCAAAGGGAACCACTTTAGATAGCTTATGGGGTAACTTGAAACCATAAATATATGACAGAGCAATAGTGAGCTGATAATTAAAAGCGTGATTAGCCTTAGTTTTCAATGGTCAGATTAGCATGCTAGTAGACAATAACTACTTGCATAATAAAAAGGAACAAAATCAAAGTGAAAAGGACTTAGAAAAAGAATGTTGTGAGGTTAAAAATCCCAGCAGGATTTTAAAATCCCAAAATGTTAGGTCAGACCCACCCGGGGGTCTGGTTTGCAATCTGGTGCTGTGCAAAAGGTGCAAAGAATTGCACAGATGTTAGACTGGAAAATATAGTTTATTTAGGAAGTAAATTAGAGAGGAAGGGAATTCACCCCCCCACCAAGGTAGAGGAGGGGGCCAAAGCTAGGAAACATGGCAGCCATAGCTCAAAAAGCCACGTGGCCACACCAGATTTAACAAAGCAATAATGAATGGCTGCTTGAAGTTGAATGCTTTTAGACCTTCCTTTGGGTGTGGGACAGATTTTTTTTGTTGTTTTGTTTTTGTTTTGTTTTGAGTCGGAGTCTCACTCGGTCGCCCAGACCGGAGTGCAGCGGCCGCTCCCGGCCACCACAGCCTCGACCTGCTGGGCTCCGGCGATCCTTCCGCCTCAGCCTTCCGAGTGGCCGGCATTACAGGCGCGCGCTACCACGCCCGGCTGATTGTTGATTTATTGTAGAGATGAGGTCTCGCCACGCTGCCCAGGCGGGTCTCGAACCCGCGGGCTCAGGCAATCCACTCACCTCGGCCTCCCAAAGCGCGGGATGACAGGCTGAGCCACCGAGCCGACTGTGGGACGGGTTGTTAAGTGATTGGGTGGTGGACTGTTCTACCTCGTCGTGAAGGGGACAGGTTAGCACGGACAGGTTTGTGTCACAAAGGGCTAATTAGGTTAACCTGTTTACCAAACAAGCTGGGGAGGGAGTTGTAAAGCAATTTTGAATAGCTGCCTCTGAGAAACCGAGTCTGTCCCTGAAAGCTAGGTAATGTTTTTTGGGTTTTTTTTTTTTTTTTTTTTTTTT